ATACTGCAGCCGCATGTGCATGAACCACCCTTATCTGCTTATGTCTCTGATGATGGATTCGAGCAGGAATCCGAAACGTCAGGCTAGTAAAGCTCTTGTCCCGGCGACCGTGTCTTCTTCTTCAATTCATTTTACTACTGTCAGCGGGTCCTTGTATATTCCGTCCTCACTTCAGCCAGCGGTTTGATGTCATTAGCGCTTAGGTAGTATTATGTTCAGGCACTCCGTTGTCCTGATACGCTCGGACAACAGGCCTTTAATCTGTCCTAGTCGGATAATCTCGACATTTCGACCGTTGTGGCTGACAATGTCCACCGTGTGCTCAACATCCGGGTGGGAACGGTGACGGTGACTTGTACGTGAATCCGTTTATAGTAATGGTGGACTTGCGCAGCGTCTGCCGCACTCCCTCCTCCCCCAGCTGGGCTCTGTGGTATGACGCAGTCAAGAAGACCGAAGACGGGAGCTTCGAGTTTATCGGATCCTCTCAGACACTAGCTCACGACCGGTCTCCGAAAAAGTGGCACAGACCGTACCGCAAGGTGTGCCTCATGGTATGTCGCTCTTTCTCGAAATGCACTCGTTTCAAACTGTTTTCCGGTTTAGAATCGAGATGCTCATTCTCCTTAGGACCCTTCCAGTGAGTGTTGTGATCTTGCAGGAGCAGACGACGGTCGATACAGCAGTCTGCTCGGCGCATTATTTTCGTCACCAGTCTCTGCAGTTGTCTTGTTCTACCAATATACGTTTGAATACCTGTCTCACTGTGTTTATTCCTTATAACGACTGGAAAGAAGAATAGCGATGTTCACCGTACGGTTTGGTTCCGCAAATGTTTTAGGCACTGTTTATATAACAGAAACTACCATCTCCTTCCGTGAACAGAGGTCGCTTCTATGTGAGGACCGAAGACACCAATAACGACGGGATTGTGGACTTCGGCCCCGAATATACAGAATTTCGCCGAAGTTCATATTTGTGGCGTTCTTTTTCTCGGAATCCAAACCGTATGATCCCATGGCGGTTGCCGAGTGGCATGAGGTCAGTTCCATCCTAGCGAAGGAGTGGAAATTGTGTAAGAGGGCGACCATTATGGACGGTTTGACCGAGGCAGGACTCGGAGACGGCCGCGTCAGCGTCATAATCACCGTTGGACACTCCAGAGGCCTCAGAGCATTAGACTAAGTATTGTTATGATCCGGCCTTCTACTCAAAAACCAGGTGAAGCCTGTGCGTACCCGACTGTTGTCTCCATTACCAACACGGCAGAGAGGGAGAACACGACCGGTCACGGAAAAATACACTAGATATTTTCGAGTCATTCGAACTGGTTAGCCTGCGTCCAACCCCATGCGCTTCAAGAAAATTCTAGACGAGCTGATCGATTTCTCGCATACACGGACCACTCAGGTTCGAGAGGAGCAGTCAATGGCGCGGGGCCACCATCATGCTAACAGCGTGCTAGAGAAAGTGCACGCGGCCCCCACTGATTGGCTGGCCGTTGTTCTTTGGTGTAGGCACGCCCAACAAGCATCCCCTCAGGTTACTGGTCATACCGGATTTGGGCAGTGAATGTCGCACTTCGTGAAGTAGCAAACAGATTACGGACTAACAGCACGCGTGCTCACAAATAATAGATCGGCTCAACGAAGGCTAAGGACGTGCCTCTAAACGCGGTATGCGTCAAGCAAACTGTCTACGGTAGTTGAAACGGTGAGCGAATGTTCTCACTAGGGTTTGGTGCCCGGATCACATCAAGGTAAGCGGCAGCTATGAAACAAGCTTCACGGCAAACGTGCGGAATCGACCTGAAGAAGGCACGAGTAGATAATATACCGTTGCCGAGACAGCTACTCAGTGCATCTGAGTCACCACTATTTCACGATTGCCTGTAGAGGGTCTGCGGATAACAGGGGTAAGCAGCGAAGAAAAATGAGGGGAAAATGTTAACGAGGATCGAGCAGATGCTCTCTAGTAAACTACGACGTTGCCATCATTCGGGCTTTGCAAATGGCGAAAGGATGAGTCGTCTCGATGATAGGATCTGTTGAGAGTGAAAGTGAGGAAGGGATCATTGAGCACATACTATGGACAAAAAGCCAGTTCTCTGAGGAAAACGGAAAGAAGCAATGCTTTTCACTCAGTTGCAATTTTTAGAACAAAACTAAGTTAATGCAAGAGATAGAAAGCTCACCGCTTTTGGCGAATTTTTTGAATGCAAGAAGAGAAGTAGACGATCAACCGGAAGGCCAAGAACAAATTTTCGCGAAAACCACCTCTACAATACTGGTAGATTAGTTTGCAGCCATATCTAACCTTTTCTATCAACAGTGAATCGATTTCCATCCAGTTCTGCAGGGCTATCAAAGGCTCCAACGCAAGCCAGCGAAAGATTTCATCAGACATCTAAAAGGAAGTGAAAGGCTACAAGGTGAGTTTTTCATGTTTTAATTTAGTGAAGCTAACTATAAAGCAGCCGATACCCTATGCGGGACAGTTCCACCAGCGTTGGCTTTAAATTAAACAATATTCTCGGTTGCGCTCAAGTCACGCGACTCCCTCTGGGAAGTCGAATGTTCCCAATTTCAACAAACAGGCGGTTAATTACGGCAGGAAAAGACCATTTGTTGGATGAAGGAAGTTTAGGTAGGAGTTGTTGAGGTAAGAGTAAACGGTTAGTAATGCCACACTTACCCTGTGTTTAATCTTTAATTGATGTGAGCGGCTACCATTTGTAGCTTTGTTGTCCATTAGAATGCACGCCACAATTGTACTTGCGAGGTTTTGGCCAATAAGTGGTCCGGATAGTTCATCTAATAACGATTTCACATGTTCGTTGGCGGATGAAAGTGTCCTTTCAACAAATTCTATCCACTCGGAGTTCTGGATAAAAAGGTTGTATAATTATATGCACCGGCGGACAAACCGCTTGCGTCTGAAAGTCAAGAAGGTCAACGGTCTGCAAGGTGGAGGCGTGCATTGTTGATAAGCGAGGACTGGAAGAGAGTTCAGTCCTAGTGAAAGTTAAGAAATAATTTCCCACAGAGCTACCGTACACAGCGAAAATTCGGAGGGTATGAATGTGTTTCTCACATTCTTGTCGAGTCACTGGACCATCGCCAGCCAGAAGACGTTTGAATGAATACATCTATCCATATTTGGGATTGGTAGGTTCACAAAACGTGTGCAAACCTTTGAATCCTGAACACAACCCTTTGCTCTAAAAGTGGTATCAATGGCAAAACCTAATCAACTACTCGTAGAGAGCAGTCACATCCTTCATTTGCCCTGTTTCGTTCAAAAAGCGGACGTAATGTAGGTAACTCAGATCATTTTGAAGCAGGAGTTGGAAGAAAAGTTCCTGGTCCAGATGTGACTTTATGATCAGAATGACCTATAGGGAGATGGAGCGCATTTCGCAAAATCAGAGAGAGGAAACCTACCTGAAGCAAGAAGTTGCCGTCAAGTGTTTCGGCAGCAAGTTCGAGTAACTTTCGTTTAGCGTCAAGGGACACAAACATTTCTACTGGCCATGAGCCTATGTCACCACGACGGAGATCAGCAACGCATGTACGTATGCTCTGCCCCCAACATTCCTTCGAAAGTTAGTTTACGGGAGAATAAGGAAGCACTAACTTCGGAGCAGAACGAAGTGTCGCGTTCATACTTCTCTACCGTAACAAGTCGTCCTTTGCAGAAGGCGCAACTTTCGTTCGTGAAACCTGGGAGTTTTCATATGAGGAAGAAGGGTTTCATTTTACTTGGAATAAAGGGCGACTCGGCGGTGTTTCCTCTAAAATTATGAATCGGGGATTCTAGAGTTTTTTTAGCTAGAATAAAACCAGACGAACCCGAATATCTGGTTGTATTTGCAGAATCGATGTCCTAAAAATTTCTAACTCATCAAAATACAGTTACGTCGAAACTGAAGCCCTGTACTTCGCTTTCTTCCCAAATATCAGTCTCGGCCGATGAGCACATAACAGTCCTTTCCAATGCGGCGAATTCCGCTTGTTTTAGCAGATCGATCGTAACGCTGATCAGGAGTCACTGGGTGCAGTCTACGTAAAAAAAGTCCGTAAAATCTGAAGCTGAAAGCCAACGAACAGCAAGATTTTCAAGCGGAATTGTTTCCAAAGCTGAAATGCAACTTCAAGTGGCAAGTTGATGGCGTTTGAATTATAAAGACCGTCAGGAAAAATTGGAATGCACATGAATACATATACATACATGTATACAAATGTTGCACGAGTCACCATAATGACAGCACAGGTACTAGCTAAAAAACCAGACATGTGCAAACTGCGAGAGTAAATTAACCTAGCCACCACATCCGTGCCTATCTGAACACGACACCGACCCACACACAGAGCACTTAAAGTCGCAACTTTGCCAACTTTCAGGCACATTTAGCACGGCTAATCCATTTAGAAGTTTCAGGTACTTCGCAGCGTGGTCCGATTGGCAAGTTCCACTATAATGCCATGTGACGCCAACGCAGTATGCGTTAACGCATTCAGCCAAGCTTGATATACCGCGCAAAAATATACGAGCGCGCGTATGTGGACGCCGCCATGACGGTACTGCGGACAGCTGGATACGAAGACAGGTGACATCGTATGTCTGCGTATGATGCCGTCCCACTAGGCCGACTATAGACGTCGCATTATCAATGCGTCCGTGCGTCAGAGGCCTTCGGGAACGCTGACGTCCGACATTCAAAAAAACCTATATGCGGACTCTGCCTCACGGGAAGTGACGAGGATCAGCCCATCACATAACAAGTAGTGTACTATCAAATCAGGGCCAGCGATGGCAGGCAACGAACTACTGCAATAGCTGTGTCCACTCCCTTATTCTGCAGCTTTAAGTACTCTCCTCACATAGGCGGCTGTTCTGAGCATTGTCAAAATAATTAGACCGCGTGCGAACATGCTGGGCGAAGTTAACTCCTAACTATATTTGGAGGGCTAACCCGATTTTGCTAAACAGAAAAAATATTTCCCGGCTAACTCTACCACGACACCAGCAGGCGCGTCAACGGTTAGATACCCTGTCTTATGAGCGATGAACTGCTCAACGACGTCGCGGAACGTCACCTGCCCCTTATTGGTTCTCATTTCGGTTTTCTGATTGGCGGAGTCAGTCAGCTGATTGGCCTTGTGCCTTGCCGTTGATTGGTGGGAGCCCGTCAGCTGATTGGGCAGGCTTTCTATGCGCGGGTATTTGAATTTGTTAAGGTCACAGCACGTTATAGGAGCAATGGCGGCAGGCGACGTTGCTGTTGAGGCTTTCCAAAGACTTCTCCATGGACAAAAATTCCCTTCGTTTAGGGATTTGGATGAGGCGATCTCACGGTTTAGTGAGGTAACTGGTGTT